GGCTGAATCGCTTTTAGGTTTGAGGCCATGGCTAGTAGGTTGGAGGCCAGCGCTTTTAGTTGTGCTTCTTGTTAACCGTGCTGGCTCTATCGACAAGACACCAGTGAAGATCTCCGCTGAGGTCCACGGGGGGCAGGGCGATCTTGCGTGGGCACGGTGATCTGAGACGCGTTTCGTGGGTTTCAGCCTCCCAGGTCTAAGAACAGCTTCCATTTCGAAAGGGTCAACAAACATGTGTTGCCCACATGAATTTGGGATATATGTGGGCCCGAAAACCACTCCCTTCCACACTGGTTGCGGGGTTTCCAGAGGGTTTGGGCCTGCGTGTGACAGGAGGGTCCAGTAATCCGGCATTCGATGGCTATGGCTTGTTGTCTCCCAGCAACTAGGGGGCTGCTTTAGTGCTTGGGTCCCACTTGGCCAATGTGTGACTATAGGCCCTCCTTATTTTTGAATCATTTGCATAAACTGCTACAAGCATTTCCAGGACTTCCGCTGGTTACATAACCCAATGCCCGGAACGTCGCTAACACCAGATGCAACATTATGCAACCCATAGAACATATGCTGTGTCAAACCTTTCGGGTGCCACTTTCCCTTGCACGTTATGGTGGGTAAGAAGAGATTCAACCTTTTGTGGCACCATGATCGGCCGATCCCACCAAGTGCGACCAGGCCCCGAAGCCCTCCCCCCAAAAAAACAACGGATCATTCGTGTTTCATGGAAGGATCAGATGGATCAGAGAGCGTAGAAGTACTGTATAAGTACCGTATAATGTACAACAAAAAACTTTCCCTACAAAAAGTGGGATTCATGTTTTTAAAGATTCAGACCAGCTGCGCTAGTGCCGGAAGAAGGGAAAACTCCTTGTCCCACTCGTTTCCCACGTCGCGTCGTGAGCGGCCAGCCGAGAGCGCGATCAGAGCCTTAATTAGACTAGATAGCCAATTTGCGTCAATGCTTGCAAACTTTGCAGGTGTTCTCTGTGTCCAGGGACCATGTAGTGACCGGCGAGGATGTTGGCAGGTTACTTGTTGCCAGGTTGTCAGATAACGGGTTCTGCAAATTGAGCCTGTCAATGACTAAGCGGTATAGACGCAGGTGAACTGCTTTGGCTTTGGACACAGCAAGAGCGCCAATTAATTCGAAGAGTTTCGACTAGAGATCTGCACTATGACTTCGCAAAGTCTGCAATTTCTTTGTGCCAGTGTGTTTGATTCGTTATTTGGTTGGGGGAGCAATATTCGGACAAGTCCTTTTTTCCTTGCGCATTTCCTGGGCCTTCAGCTCTTGGTTAGATGGGGCATGCAAGGAGAGAGTGACTTCATGACTTCGTCATTCAAGGATGAGTGCACCTCAAGGATTCCCTGCACACTCTGGCAAAATGCTTCTACAACCTCCAGTGAACAAGTTATCTACCCTGGCAGAATCAGCAATAATAGCATCGACTAAAAGTCTATTCATGCTCCTTGAAGATTGACATTTGCTTGCGCTGCTTTCCTTACTTCTCGACCCGGTGTGAGCACTGGTCCCAAGCTGCATGATATGACAAGCACAAGAGTTGTGGGCTTTGTTTCCTGGCGTAGCGCAGACACGCACTCTCTCTCTCTCTCTGGCTGGTTGAAAGGCACCTAGCAGATGGACAACATCTAGCATCCCTTTGGCTGGGATGGGTTTCTTCCCCCTTGGGACTGTGTTATCCATCCCCATTCTCCTAAGTTCGCAAAAGGTTGATTGCGGCCTTTAGCAAGGCCCTTCCACTGCTTACTTGCTTGCTTGTCTTGCTTGATTGGAGGCTGCGATGACCTGCAAACAGGTGAACCACGATCTCGGCCTCCAACCATGTGAACCGCGATGGCCTCCGCGCACATAGGCACGCCATGCAGCCCCAATGTGGAAAGGCACAGATCCGAGCTGCTCGGCCAGAGCTTTTCTTGAGGTCGACCTGAGGCCTGAGCTCGAATGACACCTGATAGCTGTGGACATTCTTCCCTGACCCAACAGTAGCGCAAATAGCGACCAAATGTCCCCATCAGGACTGGAAGAAATCGAAGGCCCATTGTGAGTCTCGGTTTTATGACACGGATGAGTGTGCTAGAAGGGCCTTAATTGAATGTCGCGCCGGGTGCTGATCGACGCACTGGTGAACCATCAGACTACTGAAAAACCGCTCCACCAGCATCTTGATTTTATCATATTTTATCTACAGTCTATTATGTGTTTGGCTGTGCCCCAAGAACTGTGAGTTATGACGACCTGCTTGGCACTGATACCGCAATGCTTTGCGTCACTTTGATGGCAATTAGTTAGTGGTGGACTTGTGTGCGATCCCGCAGCCTGGAATCATTTAATGATGAAGACGCATCATGGGCATAAATCTATTTCATGCTATTTCCATGATCAGGACTGGACTTGAAGAGCCTTGGCGAATGAACACCAGCACTAGTTGAATACATGAAACTGTGTCATGCCTTCGCAAACAACAAGGATGCTATTAGTAACAAAGGGCATCGCTACTAGGAGCAAGGACGCTACTAGGAGCAACCGGCATCGCTACGAACGGAGCGATCGGACGCTGCGTTCAGGGCGCTCCTGTACGGTCTCACAGGTTTGACTTTAGCGTGCCTGGACCGACTTCCCACCGAGTAGCGATGGCCTCCAACCGAGTAGCGATGCCCTGCTCCGTTCGTAGAAATGCCCTTTGTTCCTAGTAGCTTCTTGTTCCTAGTAAGGCCAGGAGCCCCTAGTAGCGTCCTTGCTCCTAGTAGCGCATGCTTCTTTTTGGTCCAATGTGCAGTGTATTTATTGGGTCGTCCATGTCTAGACAGATGCAGGGTATTTTGAGCCGTGGCCATGGCATCTTGCGCTCGAGGCTACGACTGACATCCCAATTCTATGTTGGCTTCTCGAAGGGTGATCGCCCATTTTCCTCCTTGATGGATCCGGAAGAAAGTGAGGAAAGGTGCTGTCTGGAACTTTTCCAGTGCGGAGCTACAGGAAGGAGCATGACCAAGGATGAATTGAAATGCAAATACTTGGAACTGGCAAAGCAAATGCATCCTGATGTTGGTGATGAGGCCAGTGTTGCCGCTTTCCAACGTTTGCAACACTGCTTTGAGCTCCTTTACAAGAAGACTGGACCGATGGGCCAAACGCAACCTGAATGGCTCCGGAAGTTGCGTGAAGATTACGCCACTTCAAAAGACCCTTTTCCATAAGCCGGAGCCAAAAAGATGCGTCCTTGCTCCTAGTAGCGGTGCCCTTTGCTCCCAGTAGTAAGGACAGGAGCCCCTAGTAGCGTCCTTGCTCCTAGTAGCGATGCCCTTTGTGACTGCGTAGTAGCGATGCCAGGAGCTACTAGTAGCTTCTTGTTAGTAGCGATGCCCCATAGCGCAAAATGCCAGCGACCTCAGTAACCTGGTGCGACCATGTTTGTTGCTTTTGGTTCGAGGTGGGTGTCGGGCTTGTGGGGATTTAGTCATTTGCATCGACATGTACGGCTTGCGGCTGATCAACAACAATTACGTAGCGAATGGCACTGGGAAGGTCGGTGGCCCAGGTAGAACCTTGAGCCTGGCCCTCTGGATCAGGATGTGATATTTGGATTGCTATTAGGCTGAAGGCCATCACTGTTAATTAGGTTGGCGGCCATCGCTATTGAGGTGGAGGCCATCGCTAGTAGGTTTTAGACCATCGCTATTAGGTTGCAAGCCATCACTAGTAGTTGGTTGGAGGCCATGGCTATTAGGTTGGAGGCCATCGCTATTCGGTTGGAGGCCATCGCTAGTAGGT